ACACCAAGGCACCTTTTCTGCGTTTTAATTCCCATCACGTGCGGGCCTCCAAAAACTGCCCATTCCTCCCTGGCAGGCCCCTCTGCCAACCCCACCACCTGTCCTGTCTCTCTCCACTTGACCCTTTGCACATCAGGAGAGAGGGTCAGGGTGGATCTCCCCACCTCTGTGTCTCAAAGGATCGCACCTTCCCTGGACGGAAGCTCCATGAGGGCGAGCAGTCATTGGCCGCATGCTGGGCCCGCAGTAGGTGCTTAATAAATATGCGTCAGACAAACGAATCATGTACATAGTTGGTGCTCAGTGGCAGCACCTGCCTCCCAGAGTCCCTAGGAGGGCTAAGGGAGCTAGCGCACGTTAAGCAGCTCACAGATAATCCACGTTCCGGCTTGCCCGAGGCAGCCTCGCTTTGCTGTGCAATGCCCGTGCATTGCCCAACCTCTCTGTCCAGTAGTTTCAACTCCATCCGGGGCCTCAGGCTCTGGGAGGATTTACTGGAAGAACAGAAGGGGGCTGGTCGCCATTCGCCCAGGGCCTCCCTCACCTCCTCTCACTACTCCCTCCCACGGCCTCCCGCTGCATAGAAAAAGCACGTGGCCACCTTGCTCTAGTTTTGTTTTCCTGTTTCTCTATATAATAGACACAGACTCAGAGAATTGTTTCTCAACAGAAGAAAAAACCTGTACAGGGATAGATACAACAGCTGCATGTTGGAGAGGCAACAGAGAGGGGTGGGGATTGTGGCAAGGTCTAGCAAGGACTCTCCTATTAAATCCCAAGCAAAAATTTTTAGATCTTCCAATTTTTTTCACAAGAAACTGTTTTGTGTGTGGAGTCCCCAGGTCTCTCCCCCTGTGCTGGGTGGTACACACCACACCCACCTGGGGCTGAATCCAGCCACAGACCACCATTTGGTGACCTCTGGTTAGTACATGTCGGAAGGAGGCAGCTTGATTTGTTCTTAGAAATTCCATATCCTGCAAGGGCCAAGATCAGCCCTTGAGCCACCAGGAACCCCCACCTGAGGCCACCTGTGGCCTCCGGTCTCCCCGAAAAGGAGTGTCCCGCCCAGGAGACCTCTCCCAAGGCTCCTACAGCAGTCACGCAAGCCCAAAGAGGAAGAGATGCACTCAGCCTGGCGAAGCGGCTGGGGCGAGGGAGACCAGCAACGTGAGCCAGCTCAGAGGACGGACAGATGGAGAAACGCAGGCGGGGAAAGCAAGAAGGTCTCATGCTCGCGTGGCCGCCCACGGCCTCGGTGGGCACTGAAGTCAGATTCCTAACTCCCAGCTCACCGCCCCTCCCAGGCGGATGCTCTCTCGGTTAGCACGCGGGGCTTAAAAATTCTTGCCATAACTGCAGAAATCTGAATTTGGATTGGGAACTAGACGGCAGTAAGAATTATTTTTTATCTTCTCAAGAAAACAGAATTGCGATTGTCATTGTTTTTTGACATGCACGCTGAGGTATTTAATGGTAAGACAGTGTGACACCTGTATTTTGTTTCGAAATGTTGGCAACCATCAAATCTAGGGGATGGGTCCATGGGGGTTCTTATCCTATTCTTTCTATTTTTCCGTTTAGATGAAATTTTTCATAAGTAAATCGTTTTCACTGTAAACAGAACAAAGCCATGCGTAGAGAGTTGCTGATGGAATGAAGTAGTGCTTTTTTTCTTTTTACCGGAAAAAGCATAAACTTGGGAACGGGCTAGATGTGGAAAAGGATTTCTGTGTGATCCTCAGGAGGTCGCTCAGCCTTTCGAGGCCCGGGCTGCAAGACGGGGTGATGAGTGTTAGTTACATCGGGGGTCAGTCAGGAGGAAGGCGTGACCCCAGGGCAGTGCGGGGCCTTGCCCGTTTTGACCCAAACTTTGGACCGCCGTCTACACAGCATCAGTGTCATCCACTTCTGTTTCCAGCACCTGGTTATGTGTCCTGTCTGAAGAATCTTCTGGCAGAGGCTGTACCTCTCACTATCTTAACATCACGTGGCTCTAACACGATTTTTAAAGATTTTATTTATTTAATTTTTAAAAAGATTTATTTATTTATTTTTAGAGAGGGAAGGGAGGGAGATAGAGAGAACGAGAGAGAAAAACATCAATGTGTGGTTGCTGGGCGCCGTGGCCTGCAACTCAGGCATGTGCCCTGTCTGGGAATTGAACCTGCGATGCTTTGGTTCACAGCCCCCGCTCAATCCACTGAGCTACGCCAGCCATGTATTTATTTAATTTTAGAGAGAGGGGAAGGGAGGGGAAGAGAGAGAGAGAGAGGGACAGAAACATCGATCAGTCGCCTCTCACTCACGACCCCAACCAGAGACCTGGCCTGCAACCCAGGCATGTGCCCTGACTGGGAATCGAACCGGTGCCCTCACAGTACGACACCCATCCCACTGAGCCATGACATCAGGGCTCTAAGGCCTTTGAGCATTCAGATCACAAATGTAATGTGTGCAAAGAGTGAGAAGTCATTTTTCCTGGGAATTAAAATTTCATGCAGCCCAGACTGTTAATCCAGGCAGACCTTGGGCAAGTTGCTCGGCCTCTGTCAGCCTCAGTTTCCTCCTCTGTCCAATGGGCGTCAAAGAGCACCCCTCACTGAGTCGGGAGGAGGATATGAGATTGGGGGCTTAAACTGAGGTCCCTGTCGGTTCTCCCCAGGGTCCATGCAACTGTCCCCCAGCTGTCAGTGACCCCTGCACCCATACTTCTCCCCTGAACCCACTTGCTGACCACCCTAAACTGCCAACAGGTATCAAAATAAGCAACTCACCCTCAAAGATAAGTTAGTTCTCTGGATCTAGCAAGCAGTAGCTAAAGTAATGTTTAATTGGCATTCCTGCTAACCCAGCAATTCCACTCTCTCTACTATCATTATCATCAGCCCCACTTTAAAGACTGGGAAACTGAGGCAGAGAGTGGTTCTCAACTTCTTATTCCTAGGGGCTGGAAACTGTCATCCACTGAGCACCCAGGTCCCCTGTTTCCCACGGCTGCCGCCATCACCCCAAGAAAAATGCAGTCACCCCAAGAAAAGCGCAGACCAGGACGCCCCACAGGAAAACCACAGCTCAGCATCTGAAATCGCAAACACACGGCAAACAACCAAAAAAGCCACCAGTAGGGACAGGAGTAGAAAGGCATAAAGAAGGCAGCCACTGTTCATACTACGGAATCCTACACGGAAAATCAAAAGGCTGAGTTAGGTCTCCACGTAGCAACCTGGAGAGATGCCGGCGCTGAAATCTGGAGCGAGAGGAAAGTCAACACGCAGTCTGCACACACCTCCGCACAGAGCGCCCGGAGAGCCCGACAACTTGAGAAAATCATTCAGTTCATCGTAGGGAAACGTATTTGCTATCTTTTTTTTTCCCCTTTCTTTTTTGTGAAGTAACAGCACTATTTTTTTCTTTTTTTTTTCCAGGCCAATGATTGAATATGCAGTGTTCAGTTTCACCTGGAAATGCGTCTGAGGGTTGAAGAAAAATATCACGAACTTCTTGTTTGGAAATTCAGCTAACTTACTGGTTAAAAAGTTTCCAGAAGGTTTCTGGAATTTTCAGGCACTCTGATTTAAACACACACACACACACAGACACTCTCTCTCTCTCTCTCTCTCTCTCTCTCTCTCTTACACTGCCCTGTCTTATCTACTGGCTCAAGCCCAACGGCCTAACATGCATACGAGTAATTGTAAAAACAGCAGGGGAGGCCGAGGTGATATGATACCCTGGACTGGATCCCGGAGCAGAAAGAAGACATGAATGGAAAAACTGCTGGAATTCAAATAAAGCCTGCAGTTTGGTTAGTTGTAACAGACCAGAGTTGGTTGTTAGTTTTGACAAGTGTATATTATACGGCGAAAATGTTAACAAGAGCAGAAACTGGGTGAGGGGCCTTTGGGAACTCTCTGCACTATTCTTTGCAACTTTTTTTTTTTTGTAAATAGAACGCTGGTCTAAGATGAAAAGTGTACTCTAAAAATCTGGAAGGGCGCCCCAGACAGATCAACAGCAGAAGTCCAGAATTGTCGGAAGGGCGGTTAGACAGGCTTATCCCTAACGGGATATTTGTTTTAAGTCAAAGGCTTTCAGCTATTCCTTGTGCAAGTTCATTTCTTGAGTGTTTCGGAGATGGAAAAAGGCCTGCTGCCACCTCCCTGACTCGAGGGGTATGAGTTCTTTCCTTTTTTGCCTAAGCTGCAGATTCTCCATGGAGCAGAAAAACCTTTGGGACTAGGAAGCTGGGACATTTCACCTTGGTTCTGCCCAGCCCGCGGGACCCTCAGGCAGGGGAGACACCTTCCCGGGCCTCCGTTTCTCCCAGGGCAGAGGGAAACACCCAGCCCCCTGGTCCAGGTCGGGGACTCCCGCGGAAGCCGGTTTCGGGGCTGGTCAGAGGGCCTCCCCCAGCCCCGTTTCTCCCATCCGTGGAACAGGGAGGAGGAGGCGGCTACACCGCCCGACCGCAGAGAGCGAGGCCGGGGTCTGCGCCAGCCGAGTAGGTGCTGGATCCAGGTAGCGGCTGGAGAGCGGGAGAGGACTGCTTCCACCGAGCCCGTCCACGCACCTTTCCCGACCCACAGACCCTGGTCCTCACCTGGACCCCCAGCGCAGGTCCCAGCGCTCGGGACCGAGCCTATGCTGTGGGTGTCAGCCCCCTGGGACCTAGCCCGGGTCCCCACACCTTCCTGAGCCGTCCCACCCCACTGCTTTGCAGAGGTGGGGTGGCGCCCGGCCCAAGCCCTCCGAGGGATACGCGCGGGAGCCCCTTGTGCTAGGGGCCTCGACTCCCAACTCGGAAGGGCTCGCTCGGGGGGTGTGGGTGGCAGTGGAAGCCCCCTCCCCAGCACTGGGGCGGGGGCGAGGGGGAAGGCGCTCCGGCTAGGGCTGCCGCGGGCTCCGGGACCCTCAGCTGCAGCCCGGGCCCGGGATCGAAGACGCCCCGTTTGTCCTGCCGGGGCGGCGCGGGCCGCCGGGGGCTGGGGGACACTCACCGTGTGCGCCGGCGGCTCAGCAGCAGCAGCAGCAGCAGCGCAGCCAGGAGGCCAAGGAGCACGGCCCAGGGCATGGTCCGAGGAGCACAGTCCAGGGCGAGTCTGCAGCGACCCAGCACGAGAGACTGCGGGCGGGCTCGGGGACGGCCGGGGGGCGGCCCGGGGGCGGCCCGGCCCACCCAGGTGCCTCTCCCCGCCCCTGCGCCCTCTCTCCAGCCCACAGGCCGGGCCCATTTAGGGGTAAGGGGTGGGGCTGTCGATCCCTCCCAGGTCCCGAGGGGTCGCTGTGGGCGTTCTTAGAGGCCCCCTCCTCCCGGCTCGGGCCGACACAGGCCCCCACCCCCCGGGCCAGGAATGTGTGTGTGTGGGGGGGGGGAATGGGAAATGTGGGATGGAGGAAAGGGGAGACGCGGGTGGGAGGAAGGGTTGTGGTGGGGCGGCGGGGTGGGGGGGGTGTGACGGAAAGGGGGAGGATGTGCAAGGAGGGGGAAATTGTGTGAAGGAAGAAAGGCGGTGTGGGGGAGGGGGAGGGGAAATATGGGGACAGGGAAGGGAGTACGAGGATGGGAGGGTGACTGGTGGATGCATGGGGGACTTCCCATCACTTTCCACCTACACCGCCTCCACTACCCAGCCCCCTCCTCATCCATCCCCACCTGGACCACTCAGAGACCGTTAGCTGGCTGTACTGTGGAGGGCCTGTGGCGCCGGGGTGTGGTGGGCGCGTTTAGGCTGGACTCTACCCACAGGTGTACTACCCGCATCACTGCGGGGAGGGGGTTATTAGAGCTTCTTGGATGGGCTCCATCTCCCCAGTCCCCACCTGCTGTGAGGGCCGCACCAGTGAGTGTGAAGCTCCCAGCCCTGTACCTGGGCCTTCCAGGGGCTCCGGGTGTGGGAGCCATGGTCAGCATCACCTGGCAGTTAAGGTGCCAGCCTCCAGGCGCCTCCGTGGGCTGCACAGGAGACCACTCCTGGGTGCTGGGGAGAACCCGGGCTCCTAGCTCCAAGGTGGTTTTTTTAGGTTTGTGGCACGCTCCCCACTCCCTGCAACCGCTGGCCCCCATTTCCACCCTGGCCCACCTTGCACAGGTAACTTACCCTTTCTGGGGCCAATTACTTCCCTGGGACCAGACTGACGGGGGTGTATTTAGCTCAGGGTGGGTGCGAGGAATTGAGGAGCGCTCGTCTGTAAGAGGGAGTCACACACACTGAGTGCTCGGGACGGTGGAGTTTTGTGAGACCGTGGGCCGAGTGTGCAGCCGGGACCCAGAAGCTTTGCTTCTAGTCCTGTGTCTACTGCTCAGTGCGGGGGAACGTAGGCAGGCGTCCTGTCCTCTTCCCAATAGACCTCTTAGGAGCGGCTACTCCTGCCCAGGCTGCTGGCTTCAGCCCTCCTCTCTCCACAGCCCATGCTCCCCCCCTCACCCACCCCCTAGTCAAAAGGATCATGTTAGGGACGGCGGGACTCAAGAGTTAAAGGTTGTAGCCTTCGCCGGAGTTGATAAGCTGAAATGATTAATGCCTGTGGAAAGCTGTTATTCCGGGAATTAGAATGACAGGACCTACGTGACTCCGGGAGGTGGACCAGCAGTTCAACCTTTGTGCGCCCACGGGTCTGTGAGCAGGCGACAGCCCCGCAACGGAGCCACTGCCTTCCAGAGAAGGAATGCAGATCACAAGCTGTGGATGGACAGATAAAGAAGTACCAGAAAACCCGGCTGCAGCTCTTGCCCAATTAAACTTTCTTCCAGACCCCTCACCTACCCCTTCGTCTTCTTGCACAGGGACCAACTGGAGAGGAAATGTGAGGACGGTTTTTGAGGGCACACAGCCTGCCTGCCATCTTCTCAGGTCACTGGCCGCTGAACAGCCCATGAAGATGCTTTCGCTGCTTGTCTCTATGTACTGGTTCTGGCAGCGACGGGCAGCGTGAACCCGGACTCTTCACGGACTTCTCCGGTTTTGAAATGGGGGGGAGGTTGGCTCTGGGTCCAGGCCTCATGCTGCCTGTCGCCGCTCAGCCAAAAAGCAGAGACAGAGATTGGATTATAATCTCGCCTTTATTAATCTCAGAGGCCAGCAGTCTGAGAAGGTGGCAGGTAAAAACCCTAACACCCACCTCTCCTTGAGCTTTCAGAGGCAGGTTTACACAGGGGGAACGTGGGAATTGGGGAGGGGGGAATTCCAAGGAGAAGCACAGACGTGCGGTGTCTTTGGAGATTAAGGGCAGGGGAGCTGAAAGGGGCGTCCGCAGCTTCTTCCCAGGCTGGCTCCCTTTGTTTCGTGTTATCTCTCCATTTGCCTCAGCCTTCCTCTCTTCCCGGACACCTGCGGTTTACGGCCAGGGAGGGTATGTGTCCTGTGATTAGGGAGGAAAAGTATAAACCACTTGCTCTCCTGTGTCCTCGGTTAGGGGAGATAAGGTGTCGTGATTCACCGGGTGGCTGTAAGTTGCTCCAACTGATGGGCCTTCTTTCATTTCCTTGTCTCAGTTTCCCCATTCCACTCGCCCAGGAATTTTCCTAGCCGCTTACTGTCCTGCCTCAGTCAGGTGCTAAATCACTAGCACCCGAGTCAGATCCTGTCCCTGAGCGCCGCTGAGAGCCCTCCATGACCCCAGCTCACTCAGAGCACAGCTGAGGACTTTACAAGGTGCTACAAGGGCCTGCACGATCTGCCTCCTCCACCTTCACCTCCCTGGCCTCTTGGCCCCCCCTATCACCCACCCAGCTTCACCCACGCACCTCTCCCGTCCTTCCGTGAGCGTGCCAGACTCGCTCCCACCGCTGGGCCTTTGCACTCGCTCTTCTTTCTGCCTGGAGTGCTCTTCTGTTGGAGACTTGCACAGAGGGCCCTTTCCATCACATCCCTCGTCCCTCTGTCTTTGCTCGACTGTCACCTCCTCGGAGAAGCCCTCCGTGACCACCGGCCTAAAGCGGTCACCCCATCACTCTCTATTGCCTTACCCTGTTTTATTTTCCTGTCCAGTACTTAACATTTCCTGCTATCATGTCAAAGGTTTAATTGTTTACCTGTTTAATGATGGGTGTCAAGGCAGCTAGGTGACGCGCATGTGGTCTCAGCGGATTCGGGACCTCAAAAGGGAAAAGGAGTTTCCCCGAACCTCTTGTTTATATATCCAGCTTGTCTGCTGAAGCCAACAGTCCCAAAAAGGCTACAGAACAGGCTGGGGGCTTTTCCCCAAATTTGGGGGCCCACGGGCGACCTTCTGGCAGTGGGGCTCACAGTCCGGCTCAGCCAGTCCTAGGCTGTGGGACCCTGGGCAGTCTGCTGCACCTCCCCAAGCTTCAGCGCCTCATTAGGTAAATCGTCATTAGGCAGATGTCCTAATCGAGGTGACATGCCTATCAGGGTGCCTGACACACAGTTAAGTGTTAGTGAAGGGACCACGCTCGGGGCTTATTCCAGTTCAGACTCTCCCCTCACGCGTGATCAGGGCTCGGGCTCAGGCTCAGTTTCCTCATCTGTGAGATGGGGTGAACAAGTTCCTTCCTCACAGCGCTACTGTGAGGACAGAAATCAATGAGGAGAGGATGAAATCACCCACTGAGGGGCCTGGCACACAGTAGGTGCTCAATAAATGTTAACTCTTCTACCCCACACCCCTGGCTTGTGTGCAGACCGGGGTCCTAGATAGCATGTCCCTCCTCCCCCCTCACCCGGGGGCAAAATGCCCCCAGGGAAGGAGACCAGCGCTCATACACCAAGGGGAGGGTGTTTCCAGGGCCCCCGGCTTCTGCCTTGCTAACAGACCCCGCTTTTGTTCAGGAATCGGGTGGGTGTTTAGGAAGGTGGCCCCTCCCCTTCCCCGGAGATGAACTACCCCCGGTGTGAGCCAGCCAGGGAAACCCCTCTTTGCTGAGGATTGACCCAGGGTGGCCACGGGGTGCCTTCTGGCACATTTTCCCACCCTGTTTGCTCCCTCTTTTTGGGGTGCCCTTGTGTGGGGACGTGATGGTGGTGGGGGTATTAGGAGGTAAGGCAAGGAACACGGCACAGCCCCAAACCAGAGCGGCAGGGCAGCCCTCCCTGGAACCACCTGCCTCTAGACTCCTTTTTTGGGGGTGGGAGGATGACTCACTATTTATTTATGACAAATTTCACATTTGTAATGCTCGCCCGTCGGAAGTCCTTTGAGATGATGCCATGGGCCTCGGCCAGTCGGAGAAGGGAGTCACCGGACGCGCCCAGCCCGCCCATGGCAGATAGCAGAGGTTTTAAACTGGCCCTTGAACCCGCGTGTCTCCTCGTCAACCCGGGCCACGTTCATCACCTGGATGGCCGCCTGGCCCTCGGCGCCGGTGATGCGGTTGCTGGCGGAGCATTTCCACGGCGCGTACAGGTTCACAGACCTGCCGGCCGCGGCGTTCTGCAGGTCGCGCCTGCCGCGCTGGCCACCGTGGGTACGCCCGCAGGAAGAGCTAGACTTGTTTAATGAGATAATCAAGTAAGTACGCCGTGAGTCAGATTTTCTCTTACATGCAGCCAAAACCACTTCTAGCCAAGATGATCTTCCAGTTATGGCTGTGGTGAGGACCATGTGACATAACGAATAACACGTCTGAACACCTGTCACAGTGCCGGCCCCCGGCGCGCTTTCGCGATGTTGCCTCATCTTATTATTTTTTGCTGCCTTCTTCTGCTTCTTCTTTTACAGCTCGGGCTTTCTGCATTTTCATGCTGGTACAGTGTCCAGCTGTCTTGGCTACAACGTCTTGCAGGGACAGGCAGGGTCTAGAAAGTAGCAGATGCACCAAACTCCCCTGATGCACGAGGACAGACCGGGCCCTGCTGGGGGCAAGACTGGTACATCCTCAGGAGTGGAGATGAGAGCAGGCCTCCTCCCCCCGCCCCGAGGAGCCCAAGGAGAAAGGGTGGGGACATCCGAGGGCTTGAGGGCTGCATGCAAACCCCAACATTGCCGCTCATTTGCCACGTGACCCTCAGCGAGTTGCCTGGCCTCATCCGTGCCATGGGCACATCTCCACAGCTTCACGGGGCGGCAAAGCCCATGTGGCAGGTGGACTCGCAGGAAATCCCCTCCTCTGTCCAGCTGGACCAAGGCCACCACCCAGTGACAATCACCTGGACGTCCTCCTGCGGGAGTCTCAGGGCGTCCAGAGGTTCCCGGCCCAGTAGAGACAAGACGTCTGCACAGCCCTTTGACCCTGCCAAGCTTCCGCCCTCTTATCGGGCCTCTGG